TGCCTCAAGGCAAAGTTTATGCTACACAGTAGCCACAGTGCAAATTTGAGGTTAAACAGAGATCGACTGGAGGCAAGTACAAATGAGCTTAATCTATTGCTTTAACAAGCCGTTCCAGCTGGAGTTGTCCTGAAGCTACATCAGCTCAATGGATGGCACCCTGTGGGAAGATCCACCCCCAGGCCTCCACAGGTGAACCCAGTTTGCTTCCATCTCAGCTAAGACTGGAGTCAAAAACCCTCTGGGACAGCGTCCCCTTTTTGAGTAGTTTAGTTTCAGAGCCTTTCACTTTGTTACGTAATCTTTTAATTTTAAGGTATTGGGGGGGGGGGAGACATTTCCATTTGTTCAGCTACAAGATATCCTTAGCTGTGGATCCTTGCCTGAATTAAATAGTTGTAATGTCTGTGGCTTTTGTGACAGAAATAAATCAAATACCATCAGAAAACAACAACAAAAAATATTTTTCTGCATTTATCCCCTCCCTAATGCAGAAAGGAATTAAAGCCAAGGCTTTTTAGTATGACTTTCAGTCCTTTGGACCAAAGGTACACATCAACATAGCTTATTGCAAACATTTTGGAAACATGCTAAACATTTCTTAACACTAGCAAAAAAAAAAAAAGACTTCTGTAAGTGTGCACACCATCTTTCCTTCCCATTGGCACCAAATCAAGATGGCAAGATGGGAGGCAAGATGTCCTTTTAGAAATAATTTCTGTTCATGGGCTTAACAGGTGACAATGCCTTCCTGCCTTACCACCAGTGAAAGAGATTTACAATTTAAACACTTGAAGAAAAAGAACAGAAAGGTGGTGTTTTCTCTTTGCTAATGGAAAAAATAAGTAAGTATTCAGTAAACATGTGGATAGTACTTACGTACATGGTGAGGTGTCAAACAAGATGAAAACTTGCAGAGTCAGCCCTCTTGCCTTCACCATTATTCTGTCATTGCCTTTTACACTGTCCCTAGGCAGCCCCTGAGGCAGGCCAACACCCTGAGCACAGCTCAGTGGAGAAATCAGATGCAGCAAGTGCATGACTCCTATGGTGGGGAGGTGAGGCCACAGTGGATATTGATGGCAGACTCAGTGTTGCATAGAGTTTAATATAACTCCAAAAACCTGATGAAGGCTATCTTTGTCAACTGTGGCCTCTGAGCTTCTGCGTAGGTCTTAGTTGATCACTGGACTTGGGCCTGCCTTCCCTATGGTGAAGCCAACAAAGATTTATGAGGCTCTTGGGGAGAATGAAGGGGCCAGGGCCTTTGGCCACCAGGTAGAGTAAAGCTAACATGCCCTCCTGGAATTGAATCCACAACCCTGGTTCCACTGATAATCAAGTATAGCTATTGAGATACTGAATTATAAGACTGCGGGCATTTTTTCATCTGTATTTTAAAGCAATATCAGTGTTGTTGGTAAAATGCATGTCAGAAACCCTGTTATGTGAGAAGGTCCTCAGGACCAATATTTCATTTGAGAATCTGTCAAGGGGTCTTCTAACAGATTCTGTATGTACGTAAAAGGTACAGCAGTGCTGAAAAGATAAAAATGAAAAATTCTAATTTGGCCCCACAAGCCTAGGGTTGCCGTTATATATGTGCTCTGCGGTTTCCTGCTGCTGTTGATATCGGCTCTGCAGGAGCACCCCAACATGCAGGTGCTGCCCAGTTTCAGGGCTGGCCTTGAGCACCTCAGGAATCTCAAAGCTCTTTCATTACTCTGTGGGCACTTCACTAGAAGTGGCTGATGGCTTTCTCCAGGGGTTTAAAACCTGGGAGGCTTGTTTTTTCCTGACGAGACTATAGTAGCTGTTAGGTCCTCTAAGGCCTAAGGTCCAAGCCTTCTGGCTCTCTCTAAAGAGTAATTGGACCTAAACAACAAGACAAACAAGCAAGCAAAATATAACCAGAGACACTGAAATTAAGAACAGGCTGACAGTGACCAGAGGAGAGAGGGGAGGGAATTTCAGGGGAAAAGGGGAAGGGCCTACAGGAACAAGTATAAAGGACACATGGACAAAAACAAGGAGAGGGGGTGGAAATGGGAGGGAGGTGGGGAGGGCTGGGGAGTAGGCTGGGATGGGAGTAAAAGGCAGAAAACTGAACTTGAACAATTAAAATAAAAAATATAAAATAAAACAAACAGAAAAGACTAATTGGTTTGGGGAGACATTCAGTTTTGAATCTGATATTTTTCACTTTGCTGTCTTAGAAACAAAAATTTTTTTTTTGCAGTGAAAAAGTAGTGAAAAGTACTAGGCTTGGAGTTGGGCAATCCAGGTTTGAATGCCAGCTGTGTCACTTACCAGAGATATAAAGTTAGACAAGTAACACAGTCCTAGCTCATTCTCTTCTAGACTTGATGGTAGAAGTAATAACAAAACTTATACCAGAGCCCAATGTCTCAAATAAATCTCTCTGTCTACCTGTGTACCTACCTACCTACCTTACCTTAGTTTCTTTTCTTTCCACTCTTTCTTTCAACTACTCCTGAGGACAAGGACTTTAGCTCTCACATTCAATGCTATATCTACAGACCTAAATAAGTTAAACCCTAAGGTGGTGGAGTAATCAAGCATCATCACTGGTGAATTTTTTTGGAAAGCTTATAAAATGGGAGTGGGTTTCACATAGAGGGAAATGTGCTACTTTCCCCAAACTATAGGCTAAAACTTTAGACTAAGAAACTATAGGCTGAGCACCAGAATAAACCGTAGACTGAGTAATGAAACAGCTCACTTTTGAGTACACTGAAGGAATGCATCAATCCCCAGGAACCCTAGTGGGTGCACTAATACCGTCACAGCCGTCCTTTCCCACTTCCTTTTGTGGTGGGGCTGTTTGACTGATAAAGCTGGTGGCGTCTTACCTCAAGTATCTGGATTTAAACAAAGAATGTAAAAAAAGAGTTATTTGTAGTCTCCTCATGAACAACAAATTTGGACTGTAAAGTGGTATCTTTAGGTAGGCTATTTACCTATTAAATAATCAAAAACAAAAGTTTGAAAGTTAACCCAAGAAGGTATGCCAAAAGTGTGTCATATCATAGTTTAGTTATGATTAGCACTTTGGATGGGATAATAGAGATTCAAAAAAAATCTTAAAGGACCATGTATAGACAAGAAATTACAATCGGAAGAAGTACTTTTAAAAGCTTGTATTTAAGTACTTAAATATGCCCCAAGTGAGGAAGACTTGACTTTAGTGGTTCACATGGGAGAGAAAAAAAAAACAACCCTAGAAATTCTAGTTAAATGCAAATGTGTCATTGGTGCTGCCCTATAGTCATCTAATTCTAGGCTGCCTGTACAGACTGCAAAACAAGGCGGAGAGCACTATGATGCAAGAGAAGACGAGCAACAGGGCCACTTCTAAGGCCATCGAGGAGGATGTAGGTGCTGAAAACCGTGCTGCAGGGGGTGGTGTGGGGAAGAGGAATCTTTAGCCAAAGGAAGACTAGGAAGACACGTCTCAGTGGAGAGCGTGACAGGTGCCCTGCAGTGTGCTGGGTGCGCAGGGCTGCCGTGTGCGGAGAAGGCTTGACTTACTCTAGGCAGGCTTCAGAAGAGAACCAAGGGCCGAAGTGCACACTCTAGAAGGAAGCATTTGGGTAAAATACAAGAAAAAAATTTTTTTTCTTCACATTTCTGATGTCCATAGAAAATGCGGGGCTGGAGCTCAGGGAAGAGGTCTCAAGGAAGGAGAGAGGGAGGAAGGGAGGGAGGGAGGGAGGGAGAGAGAGAGAGAGAGAGAGAGAGAGAGAGAGAGAGAGAGAGAGAGAGAGAGAGACTGGTCTTCTTCCACAAGGAAACTATGAAATTGTGAAATTGGTTGGGGTGTCCAGTGTTCTTTGCTACCATCAACCTGGAATTGTCGCCCACACATCTTCTGGGTTTCTCTTCACCCAAGGTTTCCATCTCTTCCCAAGGCTCCCTTCCTGGCCAGCAGACAGAAGAGGGCACCCTGTACTACCAGCTTTAGCAAGGACCAATCCGACAGCCTTCAAACCCAGGAAAACGACCTAAGGATGGTCGGGATGTCAGCAGCCCAAGGACATGGAAAGGGTCTCACTGTATACACTCCCTTTTATCCCTCTTACTGTCCACAGAGCTGGCACGCTAAACCGTAGAGTAAGTTTAAACGAGGGGTAGGCAGAGAGAGAAGACTCTGATGCCACCTGACCTCCGAATTGCAGGTGGAATGAATGGGGAGCCCCGGAAACCTCCTAAGGTGCAAAGAAAAGTTACTCTGCCCAGGAACAATGGACAATCAAGGGGTTTGGTGAAATGTGCTGACTGATGTTGAATGGGGAAGGGGCGCCTTTAAGGTGCAGAAAGGGCTATCTAGAGAGTAGCAAACTTTGTTACGAATGGAGAGCACCCTCACTGTACCCTTTTCTCCTTGCCTCTCAGCAAACCACAGGCGCACCCCTCTCCGCCTTCGAAGGCACTCGGGTCAGAACAAGGCATTCGAGTTCAATACACACGCACACGCATGCACACGAGGGCAAAGTGGGCAAAGCAAGAGGGTTGGTACCTAGTCTTGGTGCGCTGGAGCTAAGCAACTAGCCTTTGTGGATAAGGAGCAGGGTAGGGGGCACCCTCTCATCGCCGCGGGCTGCGCGCCTCCGCTGAGTGCGCAGCACGGTGAGGTGCGGTACGGTGCGGTGGGGAGGGAGGTCCATCGGCCCGCGTCCGGTTCCCCACGCCGCCCCGCCCGCACCCCGCGCCTACCGCTGCGCTTGCCGCCGGGCCCACGGCCCCCACGCTCTTGGCTGGGGCGAGAGGTGAGAGGGGTAGGCGGGCTGCTTGGTTGGCGTTGGCGCTCTGCAGTGCAGTGAAGTGTAAGCCCAGCTCCCTATATGGTCGGGGATTAGCTCGGCGCTGCTGAGCTGAGCCAGGAGCCCGAGGAGGAGGGGGGAAAGGAGGAGGAGGAGGAGGAGGAGGAGAGAAGAGCGCAGCAGCAGCCAGCGCACGCCGAGCGGCTACCAGGAAAGCAGAGGCGCGGGAGGCTGGGGCAGCACCGACGCCTCGGGAGCCATGGCCGAAGGGGGAGAAGGCGGCGAGGACGAGATCCAGTTCCTGCGGACTGTGAGTCTCCGCTGCGGGGCCAGGCGGCGGGCAGGTGGGGAGGAGCGCGGAGCTGGGCGAGGAGAGGCTGCGCTGCGCGCCGCGGTGCCGGGTGCCCTGAGCGTTTTCCGAGCCCATGGGCTGCAGAGGTGGACCAGCCACCCACCGCGAGGTCGCCAGGGGCTGTGTGGGAAGGGGCTCCACCTGACTGCCCCTTTTTCCCCTACCGCAATCCCCATCCCAGACTTCCACCTCTACCTCTCTCCTGGCAACTTGCTACTTGATCTGAAACCTTGGATGCCCAAACTTCCACTCGGGGCTTTCTCGTGTTTGCCCTGACCCAGAGGATCAGAAGTGCAAGATATCGCCCCAGAGTTGGCCTGCTTCGTCACCCCCAGCACTACACCCCAACCTCCTGCCTTGGAGGCTCCCCCACGCACTTGGGGAACCGCTAGAGGAACCTGAGGGGCAGGGGCGAGCCTGGGGAGCTGATCTGGAGAAGTGGGTGCAGGCGCTCAGTCCCAGTCGCGCAAGGAAATTCACCCAGCGCTGCCCCTCGCACCTTAAGCCCCAAGTGCCCAACTGCTGCTAAACGTTACTTGACTGCTTGAGTTTAAGAGCCGTGGCTTCTGCTGCTAGCTCCTTCAAGCCCTGCAGGACAGGGAAACCCCAGTCTGTGGCTCCGCGTCACTCAGGTCCCCTCCCTGGCATCCGAGGGAGCTGCTCTGCCCCACATTTTAGGGGAAGTGGCAGTGGTGGGGGGAGGTAGTGTCTGTTGTAGCCACATCGACCTTGTCCTTTGGGTTAATGAAAAGCCTTTGGTGATGGGCGATAACCAGGATGAGTGGGGGGCGTTGAGGTGCACCTCAGCTCTGATTTCAGCCAGGTGACCTTGAGCAAATCGCATAATCCACCCTTCTTAGTCTCAATTTCCTCATGTGTAAAATGGAGAAAATAAAGCCAGCGTTTCAGGATGATAAGGATTAAATGAGATAGTGAATGTCATAATGTTTTGTAAACTGTAAATTGCTCTATAAGTGTTAGGTCCTTTTATATGCGCTGTCTAGCTCTCAGAAATTAGAATGAAATTCTTTCTCTTTCTCTCCCTCTCTTCTTTTTATGTACCCTTCTGTCCTGGTCTCTGAAGATAATAACTTAGCTCTTGTCCATCTTTTGGGCCATTCCTTCTTTTTCTTGAAGTGCTTCCTTACAATTCCTTTCAGTTTCTCTTCCAAACATGAGTCCTCTGTCAGGGCTGGGACTTGGGTCTGCTTCAGGAGATACAGTGGGACCCACCACCCTTCTGATATTACAGAATTAGCTACCTGGTCGGCAGACCCAGGCCCATACTCCTCTCTTGAAGTGCACCCAGGACGGTTTGCAGCCCTTTTATGGTAAAGCCGCCAGTTTCCCACAAAGCCCCGTGGAATTCTGAGGCTTTCCTTTAACGGGCTTATTGGATGGGTGGCAGCTCAGGTACTCCCTACCCTATGCCCTCCTCAATCATTCATTTCTTGTGCTTATTATTAGTGATCTTCTAGGCATTATTGATTGAAAAAAATCCCTCCTTCTGGATAGGGTCAGTGTTAAATAGATGGCCTAGAGGGTCAAGGCAAAGCCCTGGTTTTCTCAGATCCCAATCCCACATGTTTCTCTTGGCTCCTGTGGCCACCTCCCCAGTGTTTCTTCTCCATGGGGCTGTGTCGCTGGCTTTCAGATACCTGTCAGATACCAAGGTTTCCTGTGTGGCAGTGGTTCTTAAATTGTGTGTGTCTTGGGTATCCTGCTCCAGAGATCAGAGTGGGTGGGCTCCTCTGAAGGCCGATCCACGGCCCCCTGTGGTATTCAAGGGCCAATGTTAGGACCCCTGTTACAGATGGACTGCATGACAGTTATGGCTTCCAGGGAAAGCTGGAGGTAACCATGGGGTGAGTGACTCCAAGTGTGACATTTCTGATTCTTTTTTCTTCTAGTAATCACCTTAAGTATTGTTAAGATGTGATCCTCTGTAACCCTGGAAAACAGCTTAACTTCTTCATCTTTGGCTTATTGAAGAGAAATAGGATTATTGCGAGAAAATAGGTGATGAAACTGAGGCACAGGAAATCAAGTGGCTTGGCCATGGTTGCCCAATGAGTTACTGATAATCAATTATAGCGTTAAATCAAATTCCCACTACAGCCTGCCATTGAGCATTATTTCAGAGGTTACAGTCATAAAGTTACCAAAATGAAAACTGCTGCTTTCTGGATTCCGACACTCGCCTTTGGTATCCATGAACAGAACCAAATTATCTCTTTGAACCCAATCACCAGAAGTTTTGGTCTGCACACAATTTTGTCTTTATCTTTCTGTTTTTAGCCAATTCGGGAATGACAGGGCTGTGCTAGCAGAGGAATTTCCTCACCTCTGAGTATGCCTGGGTTTGAAAAGATATTTCAGTTTGAATTCCTCCATTTACCCATACCTTGGCATTTGTTTCTTTCCCAGAACAGTATCTTCTAAAGCATTTTTGGTCATATGTTAGTCACATAATGCCTCCTCACCTTCTGGACCAGAAGGTGGTTGATATGATGATGGACTGGAATCCTATCTTTGCAACCGTGAACTTCACAGGATTGCCGTTCTGGAGAGCCCAGGCTTTTAAACCTATTTTTTTTTAAACACACCATGGAATAGCACTCGTGTCAAGGGTCCTCATCAAATTATGGTGGTTATGGTGTGCTGTTTATTATGATAGTGACAAAACTGAAAGCACCTAGAACTATCAATGACATGAAATGGGCAAGAGTTATTGCAGGAATGACTATAAAGTGTGTGTGGTGAGGCTTCAGACACATGCTAAGTGTTAGTGTTCATCTTGGTTGCATCTTTTGATACATTCGAAGCCCACCTTCTCCTAGGGAGCAGGCTGGACACAAGGGATTTGGAAGTGGAAGCAGATTTGCATCTTAACTAAATGCTCCTGTACTCCAAACCTTAAATGGATTCCTCCCTACTGGTGGGATGGGTAAAACTACACATCTTCTCCTGGTCTTTTGAAATCACAGGCAGTCATTTAAGTCAATGAGAGAGAGTCAGCCAGACAGATGGACCTGAGACTTTTCTTTAAGGCTAGAATTTTCCCTCCCACTGCTGCTGGCAGTGGCATCAACCTCCCTTCCAATTGCTCTTGCTGACGTAGCCAGTGTCACTGACGCGGCTCTGAAGCTGCTCAGAAGCAGATAAACCTGCCAGCCACCGATCTGAAAGCAAGAAGTTACAGTGAGAAGAGTGACAATTACTCTATCTCCAGACAGTTGGTGGAGCTGGCGCCGCATCACACTTTGAGAGTGCCAGGCAGAAGATGTTTTCTCCCCCAGCTTTTTTCCTGAGACTATAGTATCCATTTAAAAAGAAAGAAAGAAAAGTCTCCAAGCCTCAGCTTCTTGTTTTTAATACACCATGCCTTCTCCTTGCAAACCCCTCTCCACCACAAAGTTAATTGAAACAGAACTCAAAGGGAGGTAGACATTTGTTTCTATTAATTTCCCATTAAAGGTTGGTCTTAGATGCCTAATTTAGTCCTTCTGGTAGAAAGTTGTCCTCCTCCATCTAAATTTGCAGCTCTCAAGGGACAAGAGAAGGCCCTCTGGCTGAGAATCAAGACCACCCCCATGGTCTTGGGTACCTCCCTACAGCCTGCCCAGGACACATCCTTGCATTGGAGCTGCAGCACTAATGTGAGCTCACGTCCTTCCAGAGCACATTGTCCCAGGTTGGGGTGACAGTGAACTTTCACTTGGTGGTTTACAGATTACTGCTTGCTTCTTCACTCAGCAGAGTCCATTTACATAACAGCTGCGTGATGACAGTGTCATGCTTTTGATAGCTGCTCCTCAAGGAGGCAGGGGGAGGAGGTGAACACGAGTGACTTCTTCCTTCTTCCTTCAGGGACAGTGGCTCAGGGTGACACTGGGTGACAGTAAGGGAGGGAGTGCTGGAAGGCAGGCCCCATATACCCAGGGGTATGGTTTTGGAGAGCCATCCTGGGCTGTCCTGGTGAATTAGGTTTGATGGTTAAAATGAGAACACTCACTGTTTCCACATTCTGAGCCTCCCAACATCACTTCATGCCCTTCTCAGACTCTGCCAAAGAGCTTGCTCTTTGCCTTCAGAGAGCTCATCTTATTAAAGATCTGTAGCTGGGCACCCAATATCTCCTCCTTTCTAGGGACATTCCCTGGTGGATGGGAGAAAAAAGGTAGATCCTCACAAAGAAATTAACTAACTTGTGCCAGGAAGGCTGCATCAGCACTTGGTATGTGGGGGTTGGGGGTGGGGAAGTGGCTCATACCTGTAAGGCACTGATTACCTATGGTCATTGGTTGTCCTAGGGGATTTTAAGCTGCTGAGCTCCTGGTGAAGGTGAAAGCAGTGATGGTGACTGTGAACTTGGAAATATTTGGAATGTGGAATGTGTTGTAGCTCAGTGTGAGAGGAGTGAGGCCATGAACAGGTTTGCAGTTGAAGTAGGTATGTCTGATGTCTGTGAATTTCTTTTTTTTAGTGCTAATATGATTGTGAAGTGGAACGAGGACACTTCAGGGAAATACATTCTTTAAAACAATTCTTTATTCATTTTCCAATATTGATTTAGAGGGGAAAATATTTCTCTGGTTCCTTAGGGTTGATCTGAAGATTAAAAATGTTGAAGAAGAAAGGGCGAGAGGATTTTATTTGGAAAGCAAAATACTCTGAAGACTGGTTTCGAAGGACTTGTATTTAAATGGGCCTTATTATGTCTGTGTTTATTTGCCTCCTTATTTGCTTCTTTTGTCATCATTCTTTTTTACTTGTTCCTGGGAAGGACATTTTATCTCATAATTTAATTTTTCCTTTACCTTACTACTTAAAGAGATTTTAGTTTGGAAGCTACTGGTTTCCTCGCTTCTAACTGACTTGGCATCGTCCCGAGTGATTTGTACCAATCTCTCCTGTACGCCCTGGAGGTCTCATGTCTCCAGAAACTAATACTTTTT